ACTCCCCCCCCCCACCCCCCCCCCTTCAAAAATTTTGGATTGGCAAACAGGTAATAAAACTAAGTGGGTTGGATAGCAAGTATATGTGACTATATTTGTCTGTTAATTGCTTATTCAAAAGTTGGAGTATCGATTATTTTGATGAGGAATATATCAATGGACAAGAAATTAGTGAAGCTGACTAATTTATACATGTTTGATGTTAAATGATGAATCTTGTCCAGTTTTTTTTTTTTTTTGATGATTGATTAATTAAAAGATTTTGTGATCGAGATTTATCAAAAATTTTGTGATCAACTTATGAAATTTTATGTATGATGACTTTTTTTTTACTATGCTATAATTATCCTGATCAAACTTTCTTGTTTATTTTTATTTTCATTCATAAGTTTTCATGTTAATAGAAATTCTTTCTTGATATTCATATCTATTGGTTTTTGTAGAGAAATTTTGTTGAGAGCATGGCTGGATATTCCATTTTATGTTATCTTCTACAGGTATGTTAATGTGAACTCAATTGTGTTGGTACTTAGATTGTTGAAAAGCTATATTTGAATGCATTATTTTGATGAATAATTTTACTAAATGGTGTAGGGGATGTAAACATGCAGAACTATACACCTTCAGGGAAATAGTTCTTACTATATTTTAAGGAGCTTGTCTTACTAAGTGTAGGTGTATGCTAAGACATCAACTTAGTTTAGCACTCCATAATAGCATTTGGACCATGCTTTTAGGTGGTTTCTTCATTCTAGGCTTTTCTTTGTCTATCACCTTTACGAAAGTAGTTCTTACTATATTACAAGGAAATTGTTCTTACTAGGTGTAGGTGTATGCTACGACATTAACTTACTTATGTAGCACTCAATCATAGCATTTGCACCATGCTTTTAGGTGGTTTTCTTCATTCTAGGCTTTTCTTTGTCTATACTTTTCTGAGGTGTTTTATGTTAGGTTAGTGGTTTTCTTTTTTAGATGTGTTCTTCATAATATGCTCCATATTCACTTCACTGCTGACTATGGCATAAAATCATCATTATGTTAGGTTGAATATTGGCTATCCACATTCTCTATTAGTAATGATTCTACTTATTAAAATATTAATGGCTATTACTAGCCGTTATTAATTCATATTATTATTCTGTGTTATTAGCTTTGATTTCTTTATTATTATTTTCCTTTTTTTCTACTATATCATGTTTTTATTTCTTTCCTTACTGGTGGACCCCCCGCTTGTATCAATAAGAATGATTCTCTGGTTCTATTCTAACATGATATCAGAGTCATGGTCCTAACCTAGCTGTCGTTGGGTCTCTAATTGTCGCCAGCAGGCCCTTCCAAGTGTCGTTTCTCCTTCCAGACAATTGGATGCCCCTTCAGAACTTCTGTCCTGATTGTCAGGCCACCTCCCAGCCGTCAGAGCCCTTCCTAACATCCTAGTCTCCCTCCAGATTCGTCGGAGCTCTTTCTGTCTCCCCTTCCAGCCGGCCAAAATTCATTTCCAGCGATCCAAAAGCTTGTTTCAGTTGGCCAGGATTCCTTCCCATCCACTGGACTATTTGTCTGCCAGTCAGGTCTCTCTCCAGGGTTGCTGTAACCCCTTCTTGAGGCTGTATCTCTCCCCTCCGGCAACCGGAATCCTCCGATGTCTCAACAACCAAACATCTCCTTTGGTTCAATCGGAATTATGGTGGAGTCCCACAACACTGAGCCAACATCAGATGGTGTTCTTGATTCCACTGGAAGATCGACTCCAACATCCATCCCTCTGCGACTAGAGGACCGCAAAACAACAGGAATTTATTGATCACAACTCTTAAACTAAACGACAACTTTCTCCAATTTTCCCAGGATGTGTCGTTAGTCATTAATAGACTTGGGAAATTAGGTCACTTCACTGGTATGATTCCTGAACCTCTTAAGACTGGCCCGACATATGGAGCTTGGGAAGTAGAGAATTTCATGTTTATGACGTGGCTGATTAACTCCATGGAGACTTTGATTGGCCGATCATACATGTTCCTTCCTTTCGTCAGTGTCTTCTGGACGACGACCTATGATACTTGGTTGTTGGGAATTTCGGCCAACTCTATGAGGTGTTTAAGAAAATTTGAGAGCAGAATAGGGATCGAAGACCGTAACCCAACCTAGTACTTCAATGATCTAGTTGCATTATGGATGGATGTGACCTGTACTATGACCACACTAGGGACTCTTCGGCCAACCTTTCTCTCTTCTAGAAAATTGTAGAAAGGTATTGCATGTTTTAATTTCGGGCAGGCCTCAATAAAGATCTTGACGAAGTCCGGGGCTGTATTCTTGGTTGGGATCCTCTTCATTCTGCTCGCTCTACTTTCACTGAGATTCGTCATGAAAAGAGTCGAATACTTGTCATGCTTGGTGCTTTCACTCTTTCTATCGAAGCGTCCGTATTGGTCCCTGATAGTGCTCAACCCTCTTCCATGTCACTCCAGGCCTGTCACCCTACCTGTGTTAACTGTCACAAACCCAACCACACTCGTGACAAGTGTTGGAAGCTCCACAGGAGACCTGCATACAAACCTTTAATCAAATCCTCCTCTGTCAAGGGTCTCACTACGACATTTGAATCCATCATGGTACAACCGTCCCCTACCCGGAACATTACGGAATCCTCCAATTCTCTTGAGAGTAAAATGGAGCACTTAATCAAGTTATTTGGATATAGTCAACTCTTTTTTTGCTCGTCAATCTTCCAAATTCGTTAAGGTATCAATCATATGACACTTATTTCTTTTGACTCTTCTAATCCATGGTCTATTGATTCAGGTGTCGTGGACCACATTATTAGATGCTCTCATTCCTTCTCGACATACTATCTATGCTCAGGGAAAGATACTTTAAAATTGGTGACTGCTCCCACAATTCTATTGTTGGTAAAGAGTTTGTTGTTTTAAAAGGTCTAATTTTGGAATAAGTACTACATGTAACTCTGCTGAAGTGTAACGTTGTCTTTCAGTAAGTTGATATATGACATTGATTGCATTGTTCATTTTTCTCTTCATGTTTGTCATTTAGGAGCCTTGTTAGGTGAAAATGATTGGGACTGCTAAACGGGTAGTCGGACTCTATATCTTCCATGAGAAAAGCACGGAGAACAAGGACTCTCCACCTTGTAGTTGCAGTTTATCTCATTACACTGAATGTTCTATTATGTTATTGCACTGTCTTTTAGGTCATTCTAGTTTCCAATATCTAAAATAATTGTATGTGTTGATGTTTACTAATAAAAATACTTCAAACTTCAAATGTGAGACATGTCAGCTTAACTTCATCGTGTTTCTTATCCATCCTACACTTATACGCCTTTCGCTTCCTTTTCACTTATTCACAGTGACTTATGGGGGTTCTTTCGCTCTCTCAGCTATGCTAATAAACGGTGATTCCTTACTTTGATTGATAACAATACTCGAATAACGTATATTTTAAAAAACAAATATGAACCTACGGTCACCTTCAAAAACTTCCACATCTTCATTATGACTCAATTCAAGTTCTTCAGACAGACAATGGTTGTAAATTTTTTAACTCTATATTATGTGAATTTTTGATAAGTTAAGGCATCCTCCATCATAACTCTTGTGCGGACACTTCTCAACAAAATGTGGCAGCCGAGAGTAAAAATCGGCATCTCCTCGACGTTGTTTGCTTCATTATGTTTCTTTTTGTCCCAAATTATTTTTGGAATGATGTCATATTTACCGCCACCTATCTCATCAATAAAGTTCCTGAAAAAATTCACAACTTTTGAACCCCTTTAGCCATCTTGAGGTCATGTTTTCCTACCAATTGGGTCTTCTTCTCCATTTTAGATCCTAAAATTTTTTGGTGTACAGCCTTTGTTCTGAACAGATCCCCAACTCGGAATAAACTTGATCTCAAATCTATAAAATGTGTCTTCCTCGGATACTCTTCCACTCAAAAAGACTATGGAAGCCTTGTTTCTATTATAAATAAATTTTATACGAGTGTTTATGTCTCATTTTCTTAAAGTGTTCCCCATTTTCCTAACTCGACTACCAGTGAAGGAGAGCTAGAGTTCTTGGACATTGTTCCTTATTCTACTCTTATGGATGTTCCCCCACTTCTCCTACCACCGAGCAGCCCTCTGTCCTTTTAGTTCCACCATCTTCTCCTCCCACTCTCCACGTCTACACTCGATTCACTCATCCCGATGCACCTATGCTGGAGCTTGCTACCTTTTTGTAAGACCCTGAATCCCCTTCGGGCGACATCCCCAGCACTACTACTCCAAATGAGGAAGTGAGTTCCTTTAGTAAGATACGCAATCAAGCATGCTCTGTCAATCCCATGACAAACTATATTTATTTCCGCAGTTTATTGTCGATCTACAGAGCATTTGCTACTGCCCTAATTGATCATTAGCTTCCATATAATATTCATGTTGCACTAGCAGAGCCAACCGGAAAAATTGCTTTAATGGAGGAGATGAATGCCCTTCGGCAAAACCATACTTGGGACATCGTTGATCTTCCTTGAGATAAAAAAACAGTTGGATGCCGATGGATTTTAAGCATCAATCTTGAGCCAGATGGATTCTTTGAACGTAACACGACATTATTGGTCGTGAAAGGGTACTCACAGATTTACGGAGTTGACTATGAGGAGTCGTTTGCTCCATTTACTAAATTAAACACCATTTTGGTCCTATTATCCTTTGCAGTGAATTTGGATTGGCTCTTATTCCAGCTAGATGTCAAAAATGTGTTCCTGAATGATGATCTTACGGAGGAGGTATACATGCCACTTCCTCTAGGCTTTGACTGCACTACCTCTCATTGCAAGTATGTAGGCTGCGAAAAATTTTCTATGGATTGAAGCAATTACCACGAGTCTGGTTCGACAAGTTTACAATGGTGGTGGCGGGCTATGGGTTTACTCAGGCTCAATTGGATCACACTATATTCTTCCGACATTCCTCCAGTGGCCAGATTGTAATCCTTATCATTTATGTCAAAGATATTGTACATACAAGTAATGATCTACCAACATTAAAGTCTCTGAAAGGTCTACTTTATTTTAAATGAAAGGCTTGGAATCTCTTCGGTACTACTTAGGCATGAATGATGCTCGGCCATCTTGGGTCATTTACCTGTCTCAGTGCAAATTTATGATTGACCTTTTGATAGAGAACAACATTCTCCTGTGCAAACCAGTGTATGATCTGGTGGATCCCAATAAAAAATTTTCTAATGTTCCCAACTATGTTCCTGTAAATACTACTCAGTACCAACATCTTGTGAGGAAACCCATCTACCTCGCTCATACACACCCCGACATATGTCACGTAGTTGGTATAGTAAGTTAATTCATGCATCATCCCTATGAGTACTATCTCCAAGTTGTCAACCAAATTCTCAACTATTTCAAAAGCACGTCGGGCTCAAATTTGTTTTTTTTTCGAGTCACAACTCTCGTTCTATTGCAGTTTACACAGACGCTGATTGGGTCGGGTACGTCTATGATCGGTGTTCTATCTCAGGGTACTGGTTATTTGTATTGGGAAATCTTGTCACGTGAAAAACAAAAAGTAATCAGTGGTTTCCTGAAGCAGTATTGAAGCTGAATTTTGATTCATGTCTTTGGAAATCTTTGAAGCATTTTGGTTACGCTTCATACTTCACGAACTAAGTATTTCAGTCTTTGTATCTTTACAGTTGTTTAGTAATAATAAGGTCATCATTAGCATTGCTCACAACCTAGTCCAGCATGATCGCACCAAGCTTGTTGAGGTTGACCGACACTTCATTAAGAAAAATCTTGAATCCGGAGAAATTTGTGCTCCAATTGTATCATCTAGTGGTCAGCAGCTGGTGGATCTTCTCACAAATATCTTTCTCGGCCACTATTCGATGACTTCAAATCTTAGTTGAACATGACTGACATCTATGCTTTAACTTGAGGGGGAGTATTAGAATATTATGATTAATACTAGCCATTATTAACTCCTGTTATTATTTTGAGCTATTAGCTTTGATTTATTTATTATCACATTCTTTTTTTCTACTATATTTTGTTTTCATTTCTTTTCTTACTGGTGGATTCTGAAATGGGTTTATATACCCCCTTTTATATTAATAAGAATTATTTTGGTTCTATTCTAACACTACTCAATCCATTATCTCCTTTCCGTATTTTGAAATTATTTTATGGCATCTAATGCCTTTGATTGATTTTCATTTTGCCATCCTAATGTGCATGTATTGCTTATAGTCGGAACGGTTTAATGCAATGCCGGCATTGCAGTTTTCATACTTCCTGTTTATTTATTTTAATACTTCAGCTTTATATAGAGGTTGCTGTTTTTTTTTTTTTTTTTGCTATCAGTTGTGGTAAATGATATCCTTGTCAATCTTGTGGTGCTGTTCTGTTCGTTTTGCATTTTTTAGCATGAATAATAAAAAAATGATTAACTTCACTTTTTTTCTATTTGCAATTCCTGTGCTAATTATTTGCTTTATATTTACTTTTGATTATTTTTATTTTTAATGTTCTTTATATTTCTAACATCATTTTTTTTCCTTTATTATGCTGTATTTATGTAATGATTGTGGCCTCTATTTCAATTATTTAGGTGAAGGATCGTCATAATGGAAACTTGCTGATTGATGAAGAAGGTCATATCATTCATATTGATTTTGGTTTTATGCTATCTAATTCCCCTGGAGGTGTAAACTTTGAGAGCGCTCCCTTTAAATTAACTCGTGAGCTTCTCGAGGTCAGACATTTTGTACTCTAGGAAATTGTGGTACTATTGTTGCTTGAACTACTGCCAAAATCTCTATTAGATATGTGGTGTTAATATTCCTAAATAGTTAGCTTTTATTTATTTATTCATTTAATAATCATTTATTCAGCTCGTTTTACATTATGGCATTGCTGCCAGGTAATGGATTCTGATGCTGAAGGGAATCCGAGTGAATTCTTTGATTACTTCAAAGTGAGAATTTACTATTTTCTCCTTTTTTTAATATCTTTTTGGATTTTGAAACTTACGGTTGGTGTATAGATGGCCTTTTTGGCTTTACCTCAAGCCTTGTTTTAGGCATTGTTTCATTCTAGATTTGATGCTTTTAGGTGCTCTGCATACAAGGCTTTCTTACTTGCCGGAAGCATGCAGAACAAATAATACTCATTGTTGAAATGCTACAGGTAATAAAGTCGGCTTCCTAGTAACCTGGCATTCTTCTTATGTTCCTTTTTTACTTTTACCATAGCTTTTTTATGGAAAAAATGTACTTGATGCAACCTTATTTTGGTTTTCTATAGATGCTAATTCATTACTTTATCGATCATCTACCCTATGTGCCATAGAATTAACTCATTCATAAACAGGATCCTTCATTGTGTATCTTTCATCTTTTATTGTTCAATTTTGTCCTCGAACATTGAATTATTTTGATATTTTAATGGACATAAATTTTTCTATCTTGATCGATTAGTTCATGATGGATTTTTTGCAATGTTTTATGTTGTTTAGTAATTGCTTAGCTAAACTGGTCTACTAGCTTAAGAATAGTAACTTTAAGGTATACAATGTCACGTCTATCATTTCATGCTTCCAAGCTTATATTATTCTAGGCACTCTGGTGGTGATTTATTTATTGACTCATATTCAAGATTGTAAAAATTAGAATAGACATTGAACCAGAAGGAAATATTAAAAGTTCAAAGATTTAACTAAGGTTGCACTGGATGACGTAATAAATGTTTAAAAATATTTCAATATGACTCAAATAATGAAATATTAATGTAATAAGGATATTTTTACCAATTTAACATACAAATTTTTAAATGATGGCACTTTACCATTGAATAGTTTGAATATGCTTTTAAATCAAATATTTGGGGCACGATATTTTGATTAGTTTTTATTTTTCTCTATTTATTTTTATAACTTTTTACAAATGCTTGTAAAGATATTTGTAGAACTACCACTGGATTGGAATGCAATTGAAAACATAAATTCAATAAAATCTTTTTCTTATATTTATGAGATATTCAACTTCAAAGAACAATTATATTCAATTTAAAATTTCAAAAACATATAATTGGAGAGGGGTGAACTTACTAGAACATGCGGCAGATGGGCCATCGGGATATGCAAGTGAGTGTGGGTTTGAGAGAGAGAGGGAGAATGGTCTTCAAGGATATGAAAGGGAGGGGCAGACAATGTTGCTACATGTGAAGGGTTCGATTGCTTAAAGGGGTTACCATTGTTTTTTTGAAGTGCTAATTGCAGTGAAGGTCGTTGGTGTATTGTCAACACATCAAGCATTCAAGCTTATGAGTTGCAACGGTCAGCTTGTGAAGGTCTTCAGAGTTTGGGAGCATAAATTAGGGTATATAGATTGAATAAATTTTTCTAGTTGAATTCTTTGTTTTAATTTATTTTATCAAACATTATAAGGCCATAATTTGACCAAGATTAAAACCAGGCTATTCATTAAAAATGGAATTTGCTCAGTGAGTTCTCAGTTCAATTTTATGATCATGTTAAAAATGATATTGGTTCAACGAGTTGTCATACTTTTGGATCTGACAGATTATGGCTAATTTTATGCGAAAATAATTTTCAGATTGGATTGGACTGATTGGAAACGTAAGTCAGTCAACTAGCCAATTCAATTTTTAAAATCAAGCTTATATTTGTAATATCTGTAGGGAGGGGTGAAACTATTATGTTGGTATCTATGTGAGAGAGATTTGCAATATTAGTTGAGTCCACATGTATATGTGTGCTTATTTATTTTTCGAGCATGATAAATTGTACTAATTAAGTAAACTTTTTGCATTGCTGAAGGGGCACATATAAAATAAAGTAACCGATTTAATTGTCTACTTTCTCACAATTGAGCACTTTTAGAGGCAGATAAATTGGCATTTTAATAGGTAGATATTGTCAATGCTCTCCTGATAGGTTGGAGGGTTTTGAACATATCCTGGCAAACGAGAGTGAATGCCCATTTGCAATTAATCTAACATTTAGTAGCCTGTCCACAATAATATTTGTGTCCACCAAAATCCAATAAGAACATCTTAATTCATTAAGATCTTGCAGCTTATCAAACAAAAAGCCAAAATGCTTACGATGCCTAACTATTATAGGCCTTTATTCAATAAGAAACCAGGTTAATTATTACCTCAATAACTTTCTAGCATTAATCAACTTCCCAAGTGCAAGAGGTATGAATCTAAAGAGTCCTTACTCAAGATTGCACTGTTAATAACCTGAAAGCACGGTCATTATGAGTGAGTTAGCAAGAACTAACCAAATAGGTAACTTGCTACAGCATATATGAAAATGAATGTATCATATGATATGCTTAAGAAGATGGCATAACTATCCGAGGTTAATAATTTTAGTTTGGTTTTTGTCCCATTGTAAAATTATAGTTTGGATGGTTCTGATGGTTCAGCCTTGGTTTTGTTTATACTTTTGGTCACTGAAAACTAAACTATATGAAAATTTATAAGCAGTTAAAATATATACTATTGAAGTATAATATAATTAGCGGTTCTGATTATCTATTATATTTTAATTAAATCTTAATAATTTGGAAAATCAAAATACGATTTTAATCCTACATCATTTAAGCATGGACACTAGATGATCAACATAATAATTAATAGCTACGATGACTTATTATATATGAGATTTTTAGTTGTTATTTAGCTCGACTCTTTGGAATGGGTAAGGGGAGATTTGAGATTGAAATTTAGCTGATTCAATTTTCTTGTGAAAATTTTAAGCTTTTTTTTTTAAATCAGTGCCAATATTCTTGCCAAAAATGAAGGGAAAGGGGGGGGGGGACCTCTAGTGAGTTTGTTTTGTACTGAATGTTGAGATAAAATAACCATCATAGAAATTGGCTCAACTTGAAAGAAAGCCAAAGTTCATATGTGAACAGGTTATCAATTTAATCAGTTGTTTCAAATTTGTTTCAAATAAAAGTTAAAGTCATGCTTGAAACTAGCAATTATTAAACAATAACCATTAACATGTAGTAGAGTTTTTAGCGGCATACTAATGGTGATGACAATGCCAGTAAATGATATTGTAATAATGAGTCAACATGACTTTTCATAGATTCGTCATTCTAAATATTAGCCTGGAAAATATGTCTAAAGGTCACTACCAATGATACATCAAGCATCAAAATAATTGTATATTTACCATGCGTATTTTAAAAATGAAAATGCACTTCATTTATCAATGAGCATTATCCATCAGTATATCAGCATGTGATGAATATAACAAAACGAGTGTTATTAATGACAAGAATACCGAAGCAGCAATATAAATTAAGAAAAACATATGCTATACTAACATGCATAATAGTCAATATGATCTGCTGATATTTACTTTCATTCAAAATAAGTTTGAAAGTTACCAAGGGCTGTACTACAGATGGATAAGTCAAATCCTACAACAAATGTCATGGAACACACCTATTCAGGAAGATTATAACTACCTCATAATTAGCAAACATCATCTTTGAATTACTCACATTCATGTCTGCTCCATCTTCGTTGGTCCACATACCATTGCATTCAAAAGGAGTCCACAAGATGAAACACATTCCATTTCAAAGGACTATAAAATTTATTTGTCTCATAATTTATCAATTATGCAATTAGTTTGTTATTTAACAAAATAATGTCGGAATAAAATGCATGATGAATTATGCTTTTAATTTTTTTTTTACCTGATTTGATCACGCCCAATCAATCTCAACCTATGCTGTACAGACCATATTTGAAAAGTAAAATCAATTAGAGTTTTTGTTTCCAAATTCTTGATGTCTTCTTACTGGACTTAATTGAATCCAATCACAAACCTGTAATCATGATGAATTATATTACAGGATTCAAGTTCAGAAACGTGTCTTCTGGATTGTGGAGTGAATTGCATGGTTCAGGACCCATAAAAATAATTCAACTTTTTCGATCAGTTTGTTTTACCATTATTTAAAAAATGAACAAAATTGAACTGGTGAAAACTATTTTTTTTATGTAATGAAATTGAATCTAAAAAATATTACTAATCAAATTCATTGACTATAGATCGTTTTGTTTTATATTTTGTATTGAACTGATTTATGCGCACACCTAGTTTAACGAATTATAGAAAACCCAAAGAAAGAGATGCTCGACTCGGACACGCCACTAAACCATGCTTACATGACCACTATCAATTTTGCATCACAATCTCTCAACTCTAACATGGACACTCTAAATATTGCACAACTTGTTGTAGTGTCCCTGTGCATAATATTTCATCGCAAGGAAAAAAAACAGATAAATTCTGTTTATCAACTGATTGTTTTCAGGATTCTGGCTTTCCCTGTTTCAAAGGGGGTCCTCGGACAATACAAAATCTTAGGAAACGATTTCATTTAAGCCTAACGGAGGAGGTTCGTCCATTTTTTTCATTTCTATTGTTTATTTTTAAATAATTTGTTAGATTTACTATTTAAGCCTCAGTGCGTTCTGTTACTATTTTGAACAGCAATGTGTATCTTTGGTGCTTTCCTTGATCAGTAGCAGCTTAGATGCCTGGCGGACCAGGCAGTATGATTATTATCAGCGGGTGCTCAATGGAATTTTATGATGGTGTTTTGTTTTCGTGGTATTAATCTACCTTCAATTTTGCTAGTTTCCATTCAGTACTGGGGATATCTGGCGAAGAATGTTAGTTCGCAAGTTTTGTAGCACATTTTGGTTAGTTCCTTTATCAGGTGACAGTTTTGTTAGCTTTGGACCTCAAGGTTTCAGGTCGCGGTGATGGTTAAATGCTCTGCCTGCTCTTCGGGTTTGATCAAGTTTGAGCTTTTGCAGATGATAGCTGAAATTATGTGGAGATCAGATCATGAATGAGACAGTTAGGTTCTTACCTCTTTTGTGACTTTGACCTGCTTTGCTATGCCTCCGTGGATAGTAGATGTTAGCTGCATGAATTCAATGGGTTTATGCCTGCATCCGAATTTGTTATTTGTACAGCAGAGGTTGTTGGAAAACGCTCAGGCACAGGATGAAACTGGAGCAGCTTCACTTTCATCAAAGATTTACCTTTTCAGTGAGCATCGTGTAAGCAGCCAGCTGAAGATTTGGGTGCTTGAAAAAATTATTAAAAAAAAAAGAAAAGAAAAAGAATATATGTACAGATGATTGGTATCTAGATTCTATTTGAGTGGCTTGAGAATTGGAAGATTGCTAAAGCTGCTTCCAATCTGCGCTTGTTGACATTTCTGGCTTGCTATTGGTTCCTTGACAATTTTCTCAGGTCTTCAATTTTTTTCTCTAGGTAGTTTTCCTCGTGGCATCCAGTTTTGATGTCAGCATTGATTGCATTTACGGATTGTGTATAAATGATGCATTGGAATGCTTTTGTTTGTACATGGTGTAATTTAGTTTTTACCATCAATCTCCTTCCTCCCCTTGTATCATCTCTTCTTTATTTTCTCCATAAGCTCTTTCATCTCATTATTCCACCTTTTCCTCTTTTTTGTTCACATCCATTTGCATAAACCTGGCTATTAATGCAGTGTTTTTTGGGATCATTTATTAGCTATTATTGTTATCAAACCGCTTAGTTTCTTGAACATTTTGGACTGATTTTCCAATCATATTACAATGCTATATCTATCTGTTGCAGAAAATTGTTCGAGCTTGCCAACTGCTCAATAACGTTGAATTAGTTCTGTTGGTGAGTACAGACCGTCACTAAAAACATACTATTAGCTAAAGATGATGAGAACTATGAAGCAAAACACCAGATGTAAAATCACAAGTGTATATTTTGTTCTAGAAATGATTTCTTGATGAGAGTAGGCCGATTCATTAACTGCATTTGATTCAGCCATGATCTTTGAGATTAGACACCAAGGTCGTTGTTAGCTTCAAGGGTCCATCCTATGGCACATGTGTGTCTCGCTATTAATTTGATAACGATGAAATCTTAGCATTATCTAATGATTTGCTAAGTCTTTTCTTTCAAATTTTATATATTTTAGCTACCCAAATTATGAAGTATGAATTTACTAGTCATTGTTGTAGTTTTGGCTACATAACAAGCTCAAGAAATTAATATAAGTAAATTAAGGAAGGGAATTTGAAGACAGAAAAGGTAATAATAGGTTATTGTGTGCTATACTCGTATTTAGTGTGTTCGATTCATTTTGATATATTGGAATGTCTCAATGATGTGATTATATGATTAAAATTGATTGGTTATGTATATATATTTATAAATTTCTAATTAATAATATTAATTATGACCTAAATTATAAAATTTAATAATAAAAAATAAAAATTTGTTTATCTTAGAATTAATTGCTAATTTTAATAAAATAAATAAATAAATGAGCTTACATCGCATAATTAAAAAAACAAAATATTATGACAATTTTTGATTTAATTAATGATGTTTAATCAATGAAAAGAAACCAATTGCACGCAGCTCATTGCCATTTAAATTGGGTTAAATTACTATCATACCATTGCTCGTAGCAATGAAATTTTTGTGCTTTTTTTTTTATTATTGTTATTGGTTTAACGTGCATTTTAATAATTTAAATATGTTAATGATAAAAAAAAAATTGATCGGTCCAAAATTAGATGGGGAGAGAAATTTAGTGGTGATTTCAGTCTCTTAAGAAGATTTTTAATATTTAACACAAATTGACCTTTATGATAGTTGCTTTATTATACAATTTTATATCAACCCCATACAAAAGATATATTTTTTTTTAAGAAAAAAAAATCCAATTAGAGGTTTTTACATACACACCACAATTCTTATCTATTTCCATATCTAATATTTAAATACTTATGTATCACTCAAATATTTAACATCACAAAAAAATATATTATTTTTTTTTAAAAATAAAATACATATTTTATGAGAAAATTTATAATAAATATTAAAAATGTAAATATATATAAAGAATCTCTCTCTCTCTCTCTCTCTCTCACTCTCTCTCTCACTCTCTCACACACACACCCACGCACACTGCCTTCCGTCTCTGTCTCTGATTGCACAGTCCCAACGCAGCTGAACACCGACGAGATTCCTGGGAACAAATAAAGGTGAAAGGGAGGAGGAGCGAGAGGGAAGCAAGAATCCAAGCTTTGAGTCTGCAAAACCGAGGAAGCGACGTGGTCCTTACGTCTCCAAACCCCCAACTGCGTCCGGTAAAACTCCAACCAACCTAACCCTAAACCCCACCTCACTTGCGCCACTTTCCAATGCTCCATCCCGGCGGCAACCGCCGCTCCACTGCTTCTTCCGGCTGGAGGAGCTCTGGTTTCCGTGCCGCGTGGTGCTGCTCCTTCGCAGCCCCCCACAGCCCGGATTGCCGCCCTTTGCCTCGCAATCCTTGTAAGCAGCCTGACGCGGCAAATTTGTCGGCTCCTAAGTTCATTTCCACTGCTAACTCCTTACATAGTTCTCCTTCCCCGAGCAGCAAGCTTGGCCGAGGCATCATAGACCCCCGCCGGATTCTCTCCCCCGGACGGGTATCTCCCATCGATTCCGATGTCCCGCTTGTCCCCCTTCCTGAAAGGGCCGGTTCCTTTGTAGCCATCGAAGAGCAGGAGATCCCATATCCGCTGCCGTCCGGAGGAGATTTTACATGCCCCTCGATGGAGGCGGATTCTGGTGTGTGCGACCAGGAGAAGGGCTTGGATTTGAAGCTCAAATTGACTGGCAGGAACGGCAGGCGGCTGGTGATGGAGATGGATTCAGGGGTTCTCTGCGCTAGTAGCTCGTATTTTGCAACTACGGTTTTGAAATCCCGCCCGAAAGTGTCCGATACTCTCAATGATTGTTGGGAGATCGAGATCGAAGGAGTGGAGGATTTGGACGTTTTCAGGGAGACAATCGAAATGATGTACGATAGGGACGAGATGAATTGGCTCATGAAAGCGGGCGTGTCACGAGTAATCGATGTGCTCGAGGTGAGAATCCTCCTTCTTCTTGTTATATATATATATATCTATATCTATAGGGTTCAGCCGTTTAGGGGATAGTGCGATGAGGATCCAAATTGTAAAAAGATAGAATTTGATTTTCAGTAGTTCAAAATTAGTTTCTACCCAATATTGTATATATGATATGACTATGCGCATGACTGATAGCAATATTGGAGGTGTATCTCAATTTTGCGAGAAATTATTAGATGTGGACAACGGAGGGGGATGTATGGAGTATTGGAATACTCATGTACTCAGTTGTGTGCTCCAATTTTTAGACAAGCAGCGACTGCACATTCTGTGCTCCCCGCTTACCTAAACAAATTGAAGTACACACCTCTGTACTTATGGAGAAAATTTGTGTACGTAAGACGTACGCTACGTCAGGGAGGTTATTCAGAGGGTATTGGGGGGTTATATCCGCGTTATACCCCCTGTAACATACTTGTACCTTCTAGTAAGCTCCACGCATCTGTTTTCATATATTTGTAGGTTACAGGGGGTATAACGCGGATATAATCTCTCAATACCCTTTGAATAATCTCCCTGACGCACGCAGCGCTGCGTACGTAAGACGTACGCAAAATTTTCTCGTACTTAGGGCACCGCTATACTCCTGTAATCCGCATATGCAGGTACGTCCGTTTTTTTCACGAGAAAATATTTCGTCTGTTATTAGAACATGTCATGGATCGCACATCGTGCGTCTGATGCCATGACGCGATCCATGCTGTCAATTGCATGCCTGATTTACCCAACATAATATTTTCTTGTTTTTCACACCTAATAAATCTCCCAATTTTATTTTGTAGAATATGTTTGGCTTGCCAGTATTAGAAAGGGTTTATAGAATGGTAAGGTATGGGCGGAAAGATTGCTTGACTGGTTGATTGATTGGTTTTTGTTCCTTTCCCCTTTACATTTTGTTATATTGTATGACATTTATGAAAAACTATGCATCTCATTGAATACAATAGAATTTGTTCAAAAAAATGAATGAACTAGTGGCAAAATAGCGTTAACATCTCATATATCACCTAAGAAGATTGGATGGAGGAGAATCAACAGTGACCGCTAATAGTTGGCATGATGGTGATGATGATGATGATGATGTTTTGTTTACACTGAACATCAGAAAACACTTTTTAAAATTTTCTTTGTTGTCATAAAGGATGATTGAAATATTGAACTAGCTGCATAAAGGAATATTTGTAGGCATTGAGCATTCGGATTTACTTTGCAATGTTGCATTGCTTGCTATTCCGTGCCCTTTATTATTAAGTTGGTGACAACATTCAGGGACACATTATTAAGACTATTGACGGTTCCTGTTAGAAATTGCTGATAGATGAAGCACTATCCCTTATTCTGTACATGGGAAATATTTTGTTATGACAATGTATTATAAATTTCCTTATGGTTTTGTAATAACATGAAAATTTTCAACAATTGCAAGATATACCCACGCTTGTTGTTGGTTCTCATTAATGTGATTGTAGCATGCGTGTGATCCTTGTTTTGTTTGTTTCTGTGGAACTATGAGACATCCTTACGAACATGAAGGGATGATTTGTCATTTTCCTTGAGGCCCTTTCTTCAATTTTGAATTTAGCTAAACTATTTTAGCTTCTTTCAACTTCAAAAAAAGTTGATATGCTAGACCACATAAAATGTAAATGAACTGACAAGTTTCATGATGATTGAACCGTGAAAGGTGGTTAAATCGGTGGATTCAACGTGAAAGTTGATTTTTTCTTTTAAAAGAGGTGTGATTGTATATATTTTTCATGCCTTGTGAGTCATTGTCATCTATCATTGGTCTTATACCAACTCAATGTAAGGATTTATAACATTTCAAGGAGAGATCAATTTTAGTGACTATTCTGCTGCTATTGCATTGCTTATTTCTCGTGCATGATGACCAATTTCAATTCTACTTCTTATGCCTACCTTTTCTTCCAAAACTAAATCCAATTGGCGCAAACTTATTATGCAACTGCAGAAAGCTTCCACCCCTTACAGCATACCTCAGCATATTCAAAGCCTCAATTGCAGCATGATGTGGAATATTTTTATTCTTTTAAGAAGGATTTTTTAGTTATAGAAATCGGTTCAAATCTAATTCGTGAGCAAATTATTTAGCAGGGAACTGTCCTGCTAGCCTTACCCTGCAGTGAATTTCCTTGCGTCTCTGACTTGCTTTTAAAAAAGCTTTTTTTTTTTTTTTCTTCGGTCATAGTGGAACTACTTTGCACTAGAATCTTGTATGTCTATCCTTCAACGGCCTTTGAGCGGTAATACATTGCATATAATTCTAAGCTACTTTATTCTTAAAGTTCTTGAATGATTTATACTAAAAATTTTGTTATTGATGCCAAGGCATTTGTTTCTCCATGGTTTTACCTTTTACCTTATGTCTGCTTTCCAATTGTCTTTTGCTAGAACAGCGTTATGTCATGGTACAGTATTGCTATATAACTGCAGGAAGATTAAGGGGAGACAACCTATTAATATTGATAAATATGATACATTGGACCGGATCAAATTCATGGGATGATTTATATGCTTATTTCATCCGCTATGCATTGCAGTTTGTTCGTGGAAGTGAAACTGTTAAGTTTGTCATAATAAGGGGTTGTTTAGCTGCAAGTAGGATTTAACGTTAATAGGATTTAGTAAATCCCTAAATCTGTAAATCCACCCCTTTGGTGGATTTAATAAATTGAGATTTTAACTGAATTGAAGGCAAAATTGGTATCACTAAATCCGAAAATTCTTAAATCCATGGAACTCCTTCATTTTGTCATTTGGCTGGATTTAGTAAATCCATTACCAAATCCTACTGAATTCCTTCTACCAACAGCCCCTAAGTGCCTTTTGTGAAACTTAATGTTCATTAGAGATAGAGCTGTTATTTTAGCTACCACTGATTCATGATTGCTGAAATGTACAAATTCAGCACACTTTTTTGAAAAGTATGGGATTTGAGTCATTTCTAAAAGGGAATTTTTACTCGTATGTCACTCTAAATATATGATTATACGATTTTTACTCCTAGAATTAGATGAGGGCGCTCAGAAGATACAAATAAAATTATTTTTATGAGTAAACTTCAAGATTTCAAGGTTTGGGATGTTCATAAAGAAATAAATTTATGAGTGATAAAGTAATAAACATTATTAAAACAAGTAGCAAAAGATGTACTTGGAGAATCAAAAGAAAAATTTTCTGAGTAAGAATAATTTGTAGTGGAATAATAATGTGCAAGAAAAGATAAAATATAAGAAGTTATGTTATAAAAATTAGTTTAAATGTAAAAGCTTAGAGAACCGAAAAAAATATAAATGACACACAGGAAGTCTAAGAGAATAATCAGTGATGCTAAAAATTCTATTTTTAGTGATCTTTATAATAGATTAGACATTAAAGGGGGTGAAAATTATATATATGAACTTGTCAAACAGAGAAAAAGAAAAGTAAAGATTTAACTCAAGTAAAGTGTATTGAAGATGAAAATCAAAAAATATTTTTTAAAAAAGATATTCAACATAGGTGGGTGAGTTATTTTGATAAACTTTTTAATGAAGTTTCTAAAAATACGATCGACATTAATGATCTTAATATCATTAATAGTAATAAAATATTTAAAATATTTCATTTTTGCAATTGCATTAGTAAAAAAAAAGTTGAGGAAGCTTTAAAGAAAACCAATAGTGGAAAGTCTGTACGACCTGATGATATCTCAATTGAAGTGTGAAGATACATAGGAGATTTTGGAGTTTCTTGGCTTACTAAACTTTTTAATATTATTTTAAAAATTAAGAAGATGTCTGAGAAGTGGATGAAGAGTATTTTTGTCCCCATTTTTAAGAATAAAGAGGATGCAAAAGAGCGTGCAAATTATAGAAGAATTAAGTTGATGTGTCATACTTTAAAATTATGGGAGAGGGTAATTGAACATAGGTTAAAGATTTCTCATAATCAATTTGGATTGATGTTAGGCAGGTCTACTGTGGAAGCTATACATTTATTGAGAGGTTTGATGGAAAAGTTAAGAAAGAATAAAGATGATTTACATATGATTTTTATTGATTTATAAAAAGCTTACGATAAGGTTTCAAGTGATATCTTTTGGAGAGTTCTAGAGAAGAAATGTCTTGATATGACTTATATTCTAGTCATTAAAGATATGTTTGCTACAGTTGTACTTATGTTCGAATAGAAGGAAGATTGACCAAATATTTTCCTATTTCAGTTGTATTACATCAGGAATCGGCTTTAAACCCATATCTTTTTGCATTAGTTGTGGATGCTCATATTGGACATTTACAGGAGGATGTACTTTGTTGTATGTTTTTCACTGATGATATCCTCTCGTGGATAAGGCTAGAGAAAAGGCTCAGGAAAAACTTGAATTATGGAGATTTATATTGGATTCTAAAGGCCTTCGTTTGAGTAGAACTAAAATTGAATACTTGGAATTTAATTTAGTAGTAGTTGTTTTAGTGACAGAGTTGTAACTATCGATGATAAAATTATTAAAATGTGTGAATGCATTAGGTATATCGGGTCTATTGTTCAAAATGATGGTGATATAGATGGGGATGTTATTAGTAGAATTCATGTTGGTTGGTTGAAGTGGAGGAATGCTTCGGGCCTATTGTGTGATAGAAAAGTATCGCTTAGACTGAAAGGAAAATTTTATAAGATAGTGGTGAGACATGCAGTGTTCTATGGCGATGAATGTTGGCCTTTAAAAGAGAAGCATAAACTAAGTTAAGTTGGGATGAAAATGCTTAGGTTAGGTGGATGAATGGCTTTACACTTAGAGATAAAATGCAAAATGAATATATCCGTGATAGGGTTGGTGTAGCTCCAGTGGCAAACAAAATTAAAGAGAGTCGCCTTAGATGGTTTGGTCACTTTAAACGTCGACTAGTAGATGATCCAGTTAGGAGAGTAGATGTTTTAGATTCAACTTATGTTAAGAAACGCCGAGGTAGACCTAGAAAAACTAGGGCATATTGTATAAAAAAATGATCTTAATTTATTAGAATTAAATGAAAATATGACACTCAATAGGACGCAATGGAGAAAAAGGATTCATGTAGCTCTCCTCACTTGGTGAGATAAAGGTTTGTTGTTGTTGTACTGTGCTAAATTGTAAGCTTAATGAAATGCAATCCTAACCTATATCTTATTTTAGTATGTAGATCAACTTTAATTACAATAATTTAGCATTGGAATCGATAACTAACCCCCAGCTTTAGCCCCTTGACATGAACTCGGGCATGCCAAACAAAATTGACTGGGCCTTGTCAATTCTGGAATTAGGATTAGTTTCAAGCCTGAATACTTAAGTTGACCTAGCCAACCCAGTTCTATTTTACGAATGCATTGAGTATGATCTTTGATAATTCGACCGTATCCTTCTCAAAATGAAGTTGATGGTGGTTAGATTTTGAGAAATATAGCATGCCATTCTCTAGAGGTTAAAATCAACTAATTAGGATAATTTCTTTCTTAGAGTTTGTAAGATGGGATGGTATACTCTTAAAATTTAGCATTTGGGAGCTGGTAGATTCATATGTTAGTGACGGTAAACCAGCAAAATCTTCTTAATAAATCTTCTTAATCAAATGAATTGCAACTGATATATTTTGGGTCTTCCGAGTTAAGCTGAGAAAAAGGTGTCTTTTGGCCTTAATTTGTTCGAGAAGAGGAAAAATCACTATATTAAAATATGTACGACTTCGATTTTCAGTCATGTTTGCCCATGTTATATCTGGACTTGCCTGTCGCAGTACTTGATAGGAGAAATTGCGTCATGTTTAGTTGATTTGTGGGCTTGTTCTTGGTTGGTAGTTTATAATTTGGGCTACATATTTTGATTTTTATGCTGGTGGTTGAACATCATCTCTGCTTTATGTGATGATTCCTGCAGCCACCTTCTTTTTATGCATGCAATAGGGAAAATAAATGACCTCTGAATGTAACATTTTTTTCTGAAATTTTATTGATTAGAAGCGAATTGAGGTTCATGACTCGTATCTGCTTTTCACTAGTATTCTTTTTTGATTTGTTGACCCTGCAGTACTTCATTCAGTTTTCTTTGCAATAGCCACATGCTCTTCAAATATGATGAAGCTATCCAAGAGAGATTAAAGCCTTCTTAAAAGTGCTTGAATAATTTACCTTTCCTATTAGTTGTTCTGTATTTTGTATCCTAAGCTTGAAAGCCTTGCTGTAGGTATCAGCCTCAATCATGTTCGACAGAGGTACGAGGTCCTGCTTGAAATACTTAGAGGCGGTTCCATGGAGCGAGCATGAGGAGGAGAAGTTGAAAAGTTTGTTCTCAAGCTTCAAGTTTGATGCATCTATAACTGAAGAAGTTCTGGCAAGGTTACACTCAGAAGGTCCTAGTGGCTCTGAAGAACTAGCTGTCCAGCTGATAAAATCCGTGGCTAATGGTACTAATGGTAATGCGAGGAAGGAGCTGCAGGCTTTAGTGAATGGTCTTTTGTCCAAGAGCTCTGTTTATTCAAAAGAGCTTGCTGGTCTTAACAAGGATAGCCTGTACAGCATATGCTGTACCTGCATGAACTCACTGGTGGAGCTTTTTAAAGAAGCCTCGAGTTCTGTCCCCACCGAGCCAGGGATAGCAATTACGAAAGAACAGAGGCCACCAGTCGAGCGAGTCTCCAAACAAGTTGAAAACCTCAACTGGTTGCTCGACATTCTAATAGAGAAACAGATGGCTGTGAATTTTGTCTGCCTGTGGGGGGCACAAGATGAGCTGGCCAGGCTTCATCAGAGAACATCACCTATGATAAGGTATGAACTAAGCAGGATCTCTGCAAGTGTGTTCATGGCAATGGGAAGGGGAAAGGTTCAGTGCTGTGGAGATGCGAGGCACTCCGTGCTTTGTAGATGGTTCAGGCCGTTGCTCCTGGACTTTGGGTGGATACAGAGGTGTCCAAAGGGGCTTGACATGAGGATGTTGGAGGAAGGTCTGGGCCAGGCTATCCTCACACTTCCTCTGAAGCAGCAGCAGACCCTCTTCGTAGAATGGTTCCAGTTCTTTGGCACACAGGGTAGGGAGTGCCCTAATCTGAGCAAAGCCTTCCAGGTTTGGTGGCGAAGATCATTTGTTAGAGGTGTAGAGACACACAGCTAGTTCCAACTGTGTCCCATCTAATAATGCCTTGGTAGGTAGTCTTTGTTGTTAGGGTAGGAAAGTGGATCAATCAAATAGTCATCTCTGTTGTCCGGTGCCTTGAGATTCCATATTTAGGGTTTGAGCTTCACCCAATGTTCTGAATGGAAGAATGGGACGACAGTATACAGCCAAAATGACGTAGATGAGTGTTTTCTTATTGAAACTATGGCTGCGAGCTCCATGTTTTTAGCTGTGAGTTGTTTACAGTACTGCGTTTGGTCTTTTGATGAGAAGCTGGACATGATATTGCTTACAAATCTGAATCTGCTTTCATGGCCCAGCATTGCGTGCCAATTACTTTGGGTGGGACTAAACTTTTAAGCAACTCAATTCCAATTGGGAGAAACTGCATTTTGGGCAGATGCCCATAGGCTTACTCCGAATCAGATGAATAAGGATTTTCCGCTTGTATTTTGGGTTAGACATCAGCCTTGGTGGCTCGGATGCTTGTGACTGCTCTTTAAGCTGACTACATTGTACAAGTAACTTTGGATGACTCGCTTATGAGATTATTCATATAATTTCGCGGCTTTCATCTTATGGCTAACTAATATTTCTTTTGCTGATGAACTCATCTAGAATTAAACCTATTTTGATATGTGAATTAGGATGTATTTTAATTAGTTTGTTGATTAGCCTGTCTATTTGTGAATGCCATAAAATCTTTTTAAAGTAACAATCATGATGAATTGTTATGTAGATTATGATTGATTTCATTTATTTTATAGATTATCAACACATTGATTATTTTAAGTTAATATTTTAAGTTAGCATTTTTAGATGAAATTTTCAAGGCAACCATTGGAGCAAATCTTGGAGATTGGGACATGAGAAAGAAGATGACATTACATGCATTATGTGCAAGCTGATTCCTAATTTTTTTTTTTTCCCTTTCTTTCTAATGTTTGTAATAAATATGCTCATGTTTTTGCTTCTTTGTGATCTTCATCACTTAATCATATGCTAATTTGTCTTTTTGGGGTTTGTTGTAGCCATGTTGTATTGAGTTAAATTTGGTATTTTTGTGAACAAATTGGTGTCATTTGTGTTCATATTTTATTCTAAGCTTGATAGCTATATTAATTATTTGGCCATCATTTGATAAATTAGCTTTAAAGAATATTATTTGAAAAACTAAAAAGATGCTTAATAAGTAGAGAAAGAGTCCATTGATATTTGAATATCTTAAATCTTATTTTGGCTTTTACACATAAAATAATTTTATTTGTGTCATTTAAGTGTTCCATCTTATTCTATGATAATATTTTATTATATTTTTTTTTTCCAAACTCTTCGTCTTAAAATTTAAAACTAATAATCGATTTTGGGTACTTAAATTTTTAGTTGGAATGACCTTACAATCTTTCTTTTCAATAATCCATTTTTCTTCTAAGGAACATTCCATTTGTGTTTTATTTGATTTATTATTACAAGTAATAATATGCTCGCCTCTTTTCTTAAATATAATCATAAGCTAAAACAAATTTTATTATAATTCTTATCATATTTATTAGTCACTCTGAAATCATGGATACTATAAATAGTACTAAAATTATCTATCATTCTACTAACATGTCTATTTAAATTTCCTCTAATCAAACTTCTTTCTTCAAGAGATATTATTTACATCAATTCTTGTATCATTACAAATTTTTTTTTTGAGCATATATTTAAACCTTCTTTGGAAGCATAACCACTTATCATATTAAGAATATTAGTATCAACAAATTTATTAGGCTATAATTCTATCTTCAATTTTATAAGTTTCACTATTATTTTTTAAAATATTTTCTATAATTACACCTAGAACATTTTTAGTATTACTTCTGCCTAAATATCAAATTTTAAAACCAACACTATCAATCTTCTTCTGTTTTTTGCCCAACTCATTTAATTTCTTGAATGTATAAGATATTTATCTTCATAAGAACCCCAATATCTACTATTTCTATTAATTTAACTGTGAGAGTACAAATGTTCTAATTTTCTCTCTAAGTGTTAGTTTTATGAACTAATTTATTTGCCCATATCTATTCACAATGTATAAATTCTTGCTTATTTAACACTACAACCAAATACCAGTGTAGCGCTACTTACACATTTTTTACTTATTTGAGGTCATACAATGTGACACATTCACGGAACACACTAGTACTAACACAATGTTTTAAATGATTAATATCATATTTTTTTTATATACCTCATTCTACCTAGACAACGTCATATGTTTCTAGGTGTCTTTTTCTTTAGCTTAAAACCCACTGAGTTAACATGGATGATGGAATGCATTGATTGTTGATAAGGAGTTCTTGGTCATGTTGGGTCGACTACTTCTATACTTAATTAGATTTAAAGTTTGGTAACCAGGAATGTTAAATCCAATAAATTTTTACTGGGTTATGTCCACCCACTTAGAATTCCTTACCTATCCTACCAATAATTTTTAGCCATCTATTTGTTTCCTTGATGCCATCTAGTAAGCTCTTATTCATTGATTGGCCGCCATATATAAAGATACAATAATTCAGTCTTGATCTCTTGGCATGGTATGGCTTTGGGACATGAGGTACCCTTTTTGAGATGATTAATCCACTTTTGATGAATCCATAATGCATGATAAAAGATAAGAATTTTTTATTTAATTGAGAGTTTTTTTAGGTATTCTCTAAGATGTAATTATATAAAGAGAATAAATTCCCTTGGGAACTCTATTATATATTTTAAAATTTTAATTCTTTGGTCATGGGTAAATTTTCTTTTAGAGTGGTAAGGAAAAAGTATTTTAAAGCTTTTATTTAGACTTTTACTCCCAAACCACATCACAAAGATTACCATATGGATACCCATCCACCATCCTTCTTATTATATTCATATTTTCTTTGTTTCTTTCTTTCTTTCTTTTTTTTACCTTCCTCACTCTTCCTTTGATTATCATGATGAAGGAGGTTTTGTGAGAGGTAAATAGAACATCATATATGTGTAAAGAAACTAAGAAGTTGGGTTCTATTCATCTTTGGATTGTGATTGATGACGTTGAATAAGTATTTTAAAGGTTTTCTAGACTTTTACGCTCAAACCACAACACAAAGGTTAGCATACCCATCCACCATCCTTCTTATTATTTTCATTTTTTTTTCTATTTTTTCTATCTACCTCACTCTTTCTTTGATTATCATGATGAAGGAGGTTATTGTGAAATGTAAAAAGAACATCATATGAATATAATAGAAATGAATCTCCAACAACCCTAGTATGTGTAAAGAAGCTAAGAAGTTGGGTTCTTTTCACCTTCGGATTGTGATTGATGATCTTGTAGCTACCACAAAAATATAAGTAGAAATAATAAAATTATTGCAATTTGTCAGAATAAAAAAGATTAGAAGCTTTTGATTTATGTTCTCTATAATTTTAATCCTTTTATGTTTATGAGGAGATTCATTAATGAAATATGGGTTGAAGAGGGTATAGATTAACTTCAATATTGTGCCAAAATTAAAACTAACAGTGAGTATCGAATATTCTAAATCTCTTAAAATTGTATAAAGCATTAAAATTTTCATAAGAATAAAATAGAAATAAAAATTGTAAAGTGTAGAGTTGAGAAAATTTCTAAGTATTTTAAGGATAAGAAAGATGTGCAAGTTACTCTATGGCTCTAAATAAAATCTTTTTCAAGAGGGAAATTTCTCTTATAATGGTTGTTGGATAGGGAAAACAAACTAGATGAAAATTAGAAACAACTAAAGTTCACTCTAAGACTTGTAAATAAACTGATGTTATTAAAAGTGAATTATTTACAAATTTACAATTAAGAGTTTAAAAACTAAGTGTTATGGTGTTGGTTCTTTTACATGGACTCATCTCATAGCTTTAAGATTAATTCCAAGTACCACTTTATATAATATATTTATTTTGAAATTATCGTGTATCAAAGATTCATCCTATGCGTGAATAAAAAAAATATAAGAAAAGAAGCTAGAGATTTAACGTGAAAACCCCAAAAAAGGGAATAATCATAGGGTCTAGCTCAATTAAAATTATCCACTATGCGTCCAAATTTACAAAAATTCACTTTGCTCTCTAAATGAAGAAAATGCAGTTGCATAATTTCGGTTGAGTTACAAAGACCAAAGAATAATAAATTAATAACTATGGAATAGTAGTTGGGCTTCAGCCTAATAGTCCGCGATTGTTGGTGATTATCAAAGTCAAACTTTCTTCAAGAGCATTAACAGTTCTTAGTTTTTTTTCATCTGTGTTCTCCCCTCACCTTGATGTCGAAAATGTGATTTCATCTATCGAATTTTAAAGGAATATTTTAGTAAATTTGGTTGGTATGAGCAGGTCTGTATTGATTCATTCGATTATTAAATCTTTTTAGCTTTTAAGCATCCTAATGACCTCATTGGGCTTGTTGAATTTCTCTCTTGAATATACCCTTTTAATAGTTCTTTAAAGAGTGAATGTATAATTTATTAGTCTTGAACCATTATGTTTATGTTCAAAATGGGGCGACTGCACCCGCTTTGAACAGCCTGCAAAATTCGAGGAAGATTCTATACTCACTTAACACGTGCGACTCCAATGCTTTACTTCCCTCGCCGGCTCTGCCCGCCGCTCTGTTGTCTTTTTCTCCTCTCTTTAAATTCATCTACTTCTTCATCCCCTTTCCCTTACCTCACACGCTTACGATGCCAGCTTGGTGGAAGGCGAGGTCCAAATCGAAGGCCAAGAAGACTTCGTCCTCCTCCGATTCAACCCCGAGGAAGAACCCTTGGTGGTGGGATGATGAACCTAAGCTGCTCTGTACGTTGACTCCCAAACACTGGCGCCAACCCAGCAAGGACAAGGCTAACAGTTTTCATGGAGTTTCTACTGCCCCCGTTGCTTCCAGTAGCTGCGATGGAGATCTTAAGGGCCTTTTGGTGTCTCACCATCCCCTGCCGCGCCCCTCGGTCTCCTCGCCATTGCTTTCTCCGCCGCCGCTTGATCTCGGGCCTGCGGCAGCTTCGGGATCGGCATCCGCATCCAGCGTCAGCTCATCGGGATCCTCCGATGACACTCCTGATCTTGCTTTCTACCGGTAACTGATCTTGCTTTCTGGGCTGTTTTCATCTCGGGGGTGATTTTGCGTGGATGGTTTTTATTAGGGTTTGTGTTTCCGGGAAAATCCGATCGAGCCCCTGTAGTATTTCCATTTTCTGGACTAGAATTGATGCCGAGTAACTGGAGTGTTGTGAACTGAGACCTTAGCTAGGGTTTCTAAAAATAGTAAAGGCTTTATATTTTTAGTCCGGACTTTGGATGAACTTTGTATATAATCTGTTTCTCTAATAAATTTATAAGCGCCATTATGCATCTCCATTTTTTGTTTCTTTTGCTACGGTGTCTTCATTTTCTGTTTGCTTTTGACCATGCGGTTTTGCAATTTATTTTTTTTCCTTTCATGCGTCGTATGACTCCTGTCCTGCTGGATTAGAGGTAGTCATGTTCATTTAATTTTTTTATGAAGAAGGAGATGGTCTTATGACGATATCATCATTCGCAATTCATTCATTGATTGGAGGCATGTGATTCCTTTGTCGTCTTCATGGATTCGCAGGGGTTGATTTACCTGTTAAATCATTTCAGTAGCTTTCTGCATTAGATTCAGCTTATGAAACTGTGTGCTATTAACGTTTCTCTTTTCTGAACCTCATCTATCTTCATTTTTTTTATGAAACTTCAGCATGGCCGATCCCATAAACATGGCAAGGGGCAGATCTGCCTTACCAGGCTCACAAAGTCATCAGCATGTGGCTGAAGCCAGACATTTCTCACACTTTAACCCAGTTTTGGAGCATTCAAGGAACCCTGAGATGCCTGTATCTCCAAGAAAGGAAATTCACTTACATGACCTTAATGCTACTTCAAATCCTAATATCTGTTCTCCTGCTACAACTTACCTGGAGGGCATATTTAATCCAAGAACTGTGAATTGTGCTCCTATTTCACGAGGGTCTCCTTTTTGTATATCCCCTGTGCATTCAGGTGTACAAAGTGTCTGTCCTGGATCACCCACAGCTATGCAAGATGGTCTAAGGAGCCCACCTCAACCACTGCCTCTGCCTCCAATCTCAACTAATTCTCTGTCTTCTTCATTACGGCCTTCTCAGTCATCATGGAAGAAAGGAAAGCTGTTGGGCAGAGGAACATTTGGTCATGTTTATCTTGGATTTAACAGGTATTTATTTCTTTCTCCTCTTTTCTTACATTAGTAATCACAAGCTTGTATATTTAGTAAAGTTGAAGTTAAGGCTTAAGAAGTTTGAAGTCGTTGAGCATGCTTAGAAGAGCTAGATATAGAATTCAAATTTAGAAGTTTCAACATAGGGGATGGGCCTCCATAGTAAATCAGGGTAATTATCTACATTAAATGCAATGGTAAAGTTTCGTAATGGGTCCCTTCCCTAACCAAGCTCTGGTGGGAGTCTTATGCACTAAATATATAATTTTTTTTTTGTTTTATCAAGTATATTTACTCTTCTTAATGGATAATTGATTATACATACTTACATGATAGTGAAAGTGGGCAAATGTGTGCAATTAAAGAGGTACCAGTCATATCTGATGATTCAAATTCCAAAGAATCTCTCAAGCAACTAAATCAGGTTAAGCATCGTTTATATGTTTATTCAACCAAATATCTCTTTGCTTTTTTCTAAGAAAGAGCTGCTTTCACCCTGATCATCTTTAGTGCTTGTATATTGTAATATCATGTAATATAATCTTATTGATATTTCCGTGCGTTGTTTTTTGTCAGGAAATAAATTTGCTTTGTCAGCTTTCACACCCAAACATCGTGCAATACTATGGCAGTGAGCTGGTAAACATTTTGATCCATTAATTGCTTTTATTCTCTGTAACCTTCCACACAGCGGAAACAAGGTTTTGAAATGCAATTTATTAATTGTAATGACCTGTAAGATGTGTAATTTACTAAAAAGATAGAAATGCTAATTCTCTTTCTTGCTTCAATTCTAGGAACGTTCTGAAATGTATTTCATACAGTATTTCACAGAAAAGTGATAATATTGCTGTAGTATTTAATTAATGGTAACAAATGCTAAATGTTAGTAAGGTGAATTATGAAATGTTTTCATCGTTATTGTGAAATTAGAATCACATTAGAAGCAACTTACACGTTTGATGCAACAGAAGATTTCCATAAGCCTTGAACAAGTTAAGGTATATAGAGGAAGAGGAAAAAACACAAGCATGCTAAGTATCTTTTTAATTATTATAATTAATTATTACATGACTCCCTTGCATCTGTATTTATAATAGAAGATCCTACAAGATAAAAATCAAATAATTAAAGTTATCCAATAACACATGATGATGTTATCTATGACAATCAAAATAAAGATAAATAAAGTCTAATGATCAACTAAGAAAAGAAACATAATAATAATGATTCTATAATGCTATGACATGACATGTAATACATACCTGCTCTAAATCAACAAACAAACACATAAAAAAATATAGATCTAGTGCAAACAATTGTGAATTTACAGTCTAAAGCTCCTTAAGCATTCTTTGATAGATTTTGCGTAGTGAAATTTATTAAATATTCATGTGGTTTTGTTGCTTGACCTTAATTTGGTTTTGAGGTCGGGGGCAGGGGTAGTAGTGAATGATATTTCTAGCTTCTTAAATCAATATTAAGATTTAATGTTTTCTCAGAGTAATTTTTTTTGCTGACTAAAGTATTTGTGAGATCGCTTGGTTTAATATATGCAAAAAATGAAGAAGATTTGGGTAACTAGTTTGTGAAGGCTTGATAATTGAAGCTTTTTATTGAATCTTTTGCTGGTTGGTGCTCTCTGGGATCTTTAGTGCAATTGTATTAGTTTAGCAAAATTTACTAATTTTTTCATAAATCATGAAACTTCCTTTTGAAGTAAAATATGTTCATTGAAGTTTAGAATATATTTGACAATTCATCAAACTCTATTCTTATGTGACCAAAACAGATGGAGATGATGGACACCGAGAGAAGGCACAAATTGAGTGTACAATAAGATGTTTTGAGTTTCTTTTCAAAACCCATCAATTCAAGCACTACAATAACAATAATAATGAAGTTGAGCATATAATAACTAAACACACTAATTGAAGTTATAAATATAAAACATAAACTAATATGCTTAATAAAGTAATTATACAACAAGTGTGTAATTGTATTAGACATGATGTACGATGTGAATAAGTTAATACAAATGAGTTCTCATGGACATCATAATTTTTAATGATATTATACTGACACATCAATCACACAAAATTGCAATCAAGTACTCAAGTTCTCTAAATGACAACATTAAAGTCTAACTCAGGTATAGTTAAATGATTATGCTGAAAGCTCAAACAATTTATCCAATGACAGTATTAGGCATATAGTGCTCTTCCAATAAGTCTTTTGAGCTACAAGATTGCCAAAATGCATGTTCTCATTTTGCCAAATGGGATTAAACCTGAGTTGCTGAATTCACATTTTGAGCAAATTGTATTTTTGGAATTCATATTCTTCAGATTAAGATACCTCACACCTGCAAGGTGTTCGATGAATGCTGTTACAGATGTGTTGTCCTGGATTATGCTTCTTGTAGCAGACAGTACAATAAAAATGGTGATGCATTTGTTGCTGAATTTTTCTTTTTATTTTTAATAGCTCAAATTCCATCTCTATCAAAAATTTGGATCACAAATCATTATCATCTTCTCTGTCATTGCCATTGCCCATCAGTTGCTCGGCCTTATGGGCAAAGTCGTTTTTAATGCATCGGTAATGGTAGAATTTATGAGGCATTTAGTTCTTATATTAGGTTAGCTTAATAAGAGTTCTTAATTATTGAGAAGATTAGATTAATTATTATGTACATTTATAAATAGCTCCATTTACAAACATTGAAGAATAAGAAAAGAATTTGGTAAGTTCTCATAATTATTGTGTTTATCTACTCTTCTTCTCCCTTCTATTTTACGGTGTCATCGGTGTCCTTCAACTGTATTCTATCTTGCTCTAAGAAATGGGATTGTATTAGTAGATCTACAACAATGACCTTGGTCTTATATATGAAGGTTGTTGTCACAATGTAACCTAATGGATAATTAGCTATTTCCATGTATAAGGATAGTTAGCCTCCAATCATTTATCTAGCCTCTTAATGAATTTTTTAAAGTTTAACAAACGGTGGTATTTATGTCCTTAACTTACTGTAGTGTTTGAAAATCTAATGTTTCTCTTTGTTGTATACTTGCCTGCAAAGGCTATTGCAATTCTTATGGGATTTAAGAAAGAAAAGTCAGCATAGTCTGTCGATTCTTGAAGACCCAATTTACCCAAATTGCTTCGATCATTATCTCAATTGTTGCTTCCGATGTATGACAATTAAGGGTTAAGGTTTCATGAGCTACTAATATGATGTTTAGTATGCCTCAGTAAAGAAACACGATTAAGGATTCCCTAATCACAAGTCATCAATTAATTCAATAATTTTATTTATATATAAGCAAAAAACCAATTAATTATGAAATCATCGAAATAAGTTGAGAAATTTAACAAAAAATCAGAATCTTCTAAAATCAACAAGTACTATGAATATATTTCCACAATTTGAATTTTTGATATACCCTTTTTTATGAAAGTCAAGCGTACTAAATTAAGTCAATATCAAATAATGTTGAAGAGCTAGAGCATTGAATCATAAGTACAAAAGGTAAATAATAAAAAGCGATACTTTGGGATAGTACAAGGATATGACTTCTCCAGAATCCAATATTCGCATTTGTACCATACTCAAAGAAATCACAAATGCACCTTTTCTCATAAGATTGAAATTGAAAACAGAAATTCAGGCCACAACTTATCAATTGTATGCTTCATTATAACTATGTTAGACTCTTTGTAAGTTAGATTAGTAGATAAGATTGAAATAAGATTAGTTTAAATTTAATCCAAATTTAAATTAAAATCCTAAGATATAATAAGTAATTCAGCTTGAATGTAACTGTAAATTCAGGCATGCAAATCATAAACAAACAATAAATTTAAATTAGAGGATAAGTTCATTCTTCCCTCACTCAAACAACTCAATAACTCCAGGAGGATACATAACCAACAACCTCCTCTTAAATCCAATCCATATAATGCCAAAGCTCCTTGCTTTCATCTGGTAGGAGGTCCACATCAAATTCCAAATTAGACTCTTGTTTTCTCTATTTTTTTTCTTTTTAATTGCTTGCTTGACTCTTTATTTTCCTTTGAAATTTTTTGCTTGAATTCCTGTCTTTTGAGTTCTGTTTTTCAAACATACATAACAGTGAGAAGGATTTTATGTCAATGTTAATTTTGAAGCCTTTTTGACGCAGGCTGATGACACACTTTCAGTTTATCTCGAATATGTTTCTGGGGGTTCCATTCATAAGTTACTTCAGGAATATGGATCATTTGGGGAACCTGTTATCAAGAACTATACTGCACAAATTCTTTCTGGACTTGCTTATTTGCATGGGAGAAACACTGTACATAGGTTCTGCTTCTTACCAATATTGCTCGATGACCGCTTTTGTTAGTTAGTGTTCAAATGAATGAAAATTGTTTATTGATTCATTTTTCATATGAACTTATAACATTCTTTACATGTTAGGGATATCAAAGGAGCAAACATACTTGTAGATCCTAATGGAGAGGTCAAACTTGCTGATTTTGGCATGGCTAAACATGTATGTTCAATGAATTTTTGCCCTCTTTTTAATTAATTGAATGACTATTGAATACATTTGCTTCTATTATCTTGAATTTTTTTTCTTGGTTGTTTGAAGTAGGGGTGTCAAATTGGGCTTGCTGGTGAGTTTCAGGCTTGATCTGAAATTGGCTCGGCTCGAAACTGTGACATAAATCTGACTTGAATATTTAACGGGTCAAGAATACTAACCCTATTCCAACTTACTTTCAACTTGTTAACCCAAAACATACCCATATAATCCATTTAACACTAGGATTAATAGTTTTTCATGTCAAATTTGGGTCGATTTCGAGTTAATATCGATTCAATTTTGTGCTGAGTCAATTTCGAATTAATGGGTCAAGTTCGAGTCAATTTTAGGTTAAGCGAGTCAGCCAGAATCTGACCGAAAAATTAAACGTGACCCAAAAATTATTCGGGTCAACCCAAACCCAAATTTTTCGAGTTGAGTTCAGGTTTAATTGGCATGGCAGGTCAATTTTTGACATTCCTAATTTGACATCTGACCTCTCTTTTGGATTGAGAGGCAATGCTCTCTTTTGATTAATTGAATAGCTCTGTTGAATACATTTGCATCTGTTATCTTGAAGTACTTTTTCTAGGTGATTTGAACATGTGACATTATTCTTATTTGTTGAATATCTTTTCTTTTATTTCAGATATCCTCTTATACATCAATTCGATCTTTCAAAGGAAGCCCATATTGGATGGCTCCTGAGGTTAGGTATCTCTGATATTAGTATGTGCTTACAATTTATATTTGATTTTGCTTTCCGAAATAGCCTAAATTAATTTGTAGGTCATCATGAATGGAAATGGATACAACCTCTCAGTTGATATTTGGAGCCTTGGATGCACGGTACTTGAGATGGCAACTTCTAAACCTCCATGGAGTCAATTTGAAGGGGTGCGACCTTTGTTTGCTTAAAGCATCCATAAGATCTTTTGTAACAGTGTTCTATGGGAAACCAAATTTATTACTTTTCTATTAACAGGTTGCTGCAATATTTAAAATTGGGAATAGCAAAGATATACCTGACATTCCAGAGCACCTTTCTTCTGTAGCTAAGAGTTTTATAATGTCATGTTTACGGCGTGATCCTTCTGCTCGACCAACAGCTGCTCAGTTGATGGATCATCCTTTTGTGCATGATCAAGCTGCAATAAAATCTGCAAAATTAAGTGTATCCAAGGACATGTTTCCTCCTGATGGAAGCTATTCAAGGGTATAGTTTGAAACTCTTCTGATTGTTCACTCTTTAAATACTCATATGGAAACAGAGAAGCGACATAAATATTATTTTTGAAGGGTATCATTCTCACTCCCATATCATCAATATGATGCTTAGTGGAGTCTTAAAATTTTAATCTCCCCGTAATAATCTGATGGAATCTTATTCACTCATCTACTCTCTTTCTTCTGACTTACCATTAATGTTCTTTATTGTTCTACCTTTGTTCATATCTATCAACAATGCCGCACTAAACTTGATTCCAAGTCTCTGAAATATATCTTTCTTGGTTACTCTTCAAATTAAAAAGGGTATAAATGCTACTCTCGAACCACTGGGAAAATATACAACTCCATGAATGTCATTATCGTTGAGAATCAATCTTATTTCCCCAAATCTGAATTCAAGGGAGAACTTGAGTAAATATCAGATTTGAGATTTTCTCCAATATACCTAGGTCACTTCTCTTTTAACTGAATCGAATTCTATCCCTCAACCAGCTCCTGTTAAAGAATGAAATTCTATCACAAAAACTGTTATGATTGTCTTAACTCCATCTCAACATAACACCGTTGATCATGAATTCTGCATTTACACCCTAAGGACCACTAAGCATGTAGAGGATACTATGCAGACCCAGGACTGTTAAGTGCTAGAACCAAGTCCTATTAATAATTATAATGGTATGGATTTCTCAACTCATGATCTCTTGCACCAATGGTTGATGACTTTAATCAACCAATTGCACACAAGAAAGGTATCTGAAGTTGCATTGGTCATTCAATTGAAAGAAATGTAGCTTTTGGGATGTTGCTATCATCTTACAGGGCTTTTGTGACAAATCTTAATAGTGTCCAGGTTCCCAATTTTATCCAACAGGTTCTAACAATTTCAAGATGGAAACAGACGATTGAGGAAAAAATTCGAGATCTAAGAAAGAATAACACATTGACACTTATAGAGTTACCTTATAGAAATAGGCTGCAAATAGATATTTAAGGTCAAATATAAAGTAGATACAAGTGTAGAGAGATTCAAAATCAGATTGGTTCCCAAGGGTTTCACACAGTCATGCAGGATTGACTATCAGGAAACATTTGTACCTTTGTCAAACTTAATACAATTCGGGTTCTACTCTTTTTGCAGTAAGTCAAGATTGGCTTTTATATTAAATTGATATAAAAAATGGCTTCTTGAATGTTGACCTTGATGAAGAAGTCTACATGACTATACCTCTGGGCTTGGAAAATAGGTCAAACAATAAGTTGATTTGCAAGTTGAAGAGGTCTTTATATGACTTAAAATGATCTCGTTATACTTGGTCTGATAGGTTTGCTAAAACAGTGATTACAAATATATATCATCAGTATTAAGCTGATCTGTTGAAATTCAGAATAATGCGGAATAAAGTGAAATACTTCATTATTTCATTGATATGAATGAGGTTATAAATAACTCTTACAATAATCCTATAATAGGAAAAATAATAAAAAGAAAATGATATGAAAGGAAAGATATATCACCCGATATCTCCAATAATCAATTCATATTAATTATTAGGAGATATAAAAAATAACATAAAATAAGAAAACAAATAATTCCTAATCCAAGAAAATAAATATAAAATAGGAAAATAAATCTCCTTAATCTAAGGATGAGGAATAAATTATTTCCTATTATAATTCCTAACACTCCCCCTCAAGTTTAAACATGGTTGAAAACCACGTTCAACTTGAATTTAAAAACATCAAACAATGAACGAGGAAGATACTGTGAAGTAGAACTTTAAGTCTTTATCTTGTACTGCGGTTGTCTTCGGCTGCAGTTACTGCAGAGTCTGTAGGTAGGCAGAAGATTCCTACAGATAATGTTGCATGGGAGTTTACAGACAAGTTGACAGTAGTGGTTACAGTTCCTACAGTGTCCGTAGGTAGACGGAAAACACCTACTAGTACTGCTGCAGGGAATTTGCATGGAAGTAGACGACTTTGATTGCTTTGACTGCAGTTCCTGCAATGTCTGTAGGTAGACTGAAAGCTGCTACATGTAATGATGCAGAGGAGTTTGCACAGAAGTAGACAACTGTGATTGTCTTTTGACTGCAGTGCCTGTAGGAAGACACAAAACTCAGGCTTGGCTGAATTTTGAATTTTGTCTGCATGTTTTTCAGCAAGTAGACAACTGTGTTTGTCTTTTGACTGCATTTTCCGTAGTGCCTATAGGAAAACTCAAAATTCAGGCTTGGCTGAATTTTGAGTTTTGTCTGTAATGTGTTTCTGCATTGAGAGAAGTAGATTCAGACTTGGCTTGAAATGTAGCTCCCCCTAACGCTTGGGTAGTGAAAAAAATACTGCAGGAGAAATGGTCGGAGATAGATTTTTCCGGCATTGTCTGATCGACGACAACGATATCTTCGACGAGATGACAATGAGGCGTGTGGCGGCATCGCCGGTGCCGCCCTGACTGGAGCCCCTGCACACGACCCCCTTCTTGATTTGTTTGGCTCGTGCGGACGTCGTGCGTAACGAACACAACATGTTCTGTCTCGACTGAGGGGAAGTCGACTATAGATTTTTTGGAGACCAGTAGAGTCGAAGCTCTCGGTTCAGGAAGAGTGGGCCAGCAGACAAAGCTTGCAGGGAGAGAATGAGAAAAATCGTTGTTTCAAATACCAAAATGAGTGCCCCTCCCTTCTCGCACAGAGGATGACAGGAAGAGAGTCCGACAATTCTCAAAGGAAGACCTGTGACTAGAGTACGAAATCAGACTCTAATACCATGTTGAAATTCAGAATATTCCGGAATAAAGTGGAATACTTAATTACTTCATTCATATGAGTGATGGTATAAATAACTCTTACAAGAATCCTATAATAGGAAAAATAATTAAAAAAAATGATATGAAAAGAAATATATATCACGTGATATCTCCAATAATCAATTCATATTAATTATTTGGAGATATGAAAAATAACATAAAATAAGAAAACAAATAATTCTTAATCCAAGGAAATGAATATAAAATAGGAAAGGAAATATCTCCTTAATCTAGAAAATAATTTATTTCTCATAATTTCACATAGGAATAAATTATTTCCTAGTAGAACTCCCTAATATGATCATACATTGTTTGTTAAATCCAATCTTAGAGGCAAGCTTTCATTGTATACGTAGATGATATTATCTTATCAAGTGATGATTCAAAGGAAATTACTAGACTAAAAAGGATGCTTGTAACATAATTTGAGATCAAGGAACTCGGGACATTGATAATTTTTTAGAATGGAGGTGGCTTGGTTTAGGGAGGGAATTGTCATATCCTAGAGATGTACATTTTAGACCTATTAAGTGAAACTAACATGCTTAGGTGTAAACTTGCTGACACACCCATGCATTCCAACAAAAGGTTGAACATAAGTGAAGAAAGCAATTCAATTGATAAAGGAATATATCAATGACTTGTGAAAAAACTATTTTACACATCACATACAAGATCTGATATTACATACTTTGTCAGTGTAATAAGCCAACATATGAATATTTCAAATGAGGATTATTTGGAAGTTGTATAGATTCTTGAGATACTTGAAGATGACACTTGGATATGGTTTACTCTTCAAGAGATTTGAAAAGTGTAAAATTGAGATATACACAAATGCTAGCTAGATAGAGAGGTAAGTGATAGGAAATCAATGACATGATAATATTTGTATGCCTTGGGTAATCTCATCACTTGGAGAAGCAAAAATAAGATGGCTCTAGGAGTAGTGTAGAATCTGAATATCACACTCTTGACTAGGAATATATGAGGGAATGTAGATTCAAAGACTATTAAGAGAACTTAAGTTTGAGAAGAAAAACACAATTAAGATGTTCAATGATAGCCAAAAAACTATTAGTATAGCCAAAAACCCTGGCATAATGACGGGACTGAACACTTTGAGATTGACCGACACTTCATTTAAGAAAAAGTTAGCAATGAAATTATTCAACTTAGCTATATTCTCAAAATACTTCAGATGTGAATATTCTCATGAAAGCACTACCAAGATTCGGTCATGATGAATAGAAGTCGAAGTTTGATTTGTACAATATATATACAAACCAATTTGAGAGGGAGTGTAGGAAAGTGCCAATCATCATACCTGATTAGGAAGAAATTTATTTCCTTTTCTCATAATATATTTCACTAATTGTGTTTCTATTTTTTGTTTTTTGTTTTTTTTCTTATTTTTCTATTTTTTCTATTTTGAGGGATTCCTATCTTAATTACTTTCACTATTTTATTTATGTTGTAAGTTGTGAGGGATTAAACGAGTGAGAAATAAAATTTTCAGAATTCAACAGCAATCAATTACATAAATCAGGCTCAAGATTTCGGCTATTTTTGGCAACACATGGGGCAGTTTTCTCCAGGGTGTGGGGGTTGTATTTGCTTCTTAGATTACCTCTTCTGAGGACTCGCTCTCTATTTTTTGCTTATTATTTTTTTTTATTAGGAGAAGATTGATTGAATACAATATTTTGTAATTAGTCTTTCCTATTTACTACTTTCTTGGCCGCCATTTCTTGCTTACCTATACATACTGTACTTTTGCTCATTCATTAAAACAGGAAATATAATTTACTCTTTATTTTCTTTTTCTCTTCATTTTATCTTTATTTTCAGCAAAAGCATACACATGATATGACTTGGATTTTGGGACACAGCTTCATCGCAATAAATTTAACAAGATGCACCATTGACATAATTTTTTGTATAAATTATTATGAAAATAAGATGTGTGATCAAAAAACATATTGGCAATATTTTTTGTCAAATCATATTATACAATGAAGGGCAATATCCAATGTTTCACATAAAAGCAATATCAACCAAAAAAAGGGGAAAAAATTGTTTATTTATCATTACATTTCAGTATTTAATCAGGCATGTTTCATCCCCCCAACAATACCTGGACATTAACATTTATAATTTGACATGATTTAATATTGTATTGTGTATATACAAGCTTCAAATTTATCGTACTGTGCTCATTGATGTATCATTAATTAGAACAAAAAAAATCAACCTTGAAACGCCAATCAACCTTCCAATTTGAACTAAAAATTTTCTGAATCAGAAGTAATTTTTGCAGGTTGTTTGTATAAATGTTGTCCCGACCACATTGCGGCGTGTCTCGACCATGATTGTTTTGGAATAGAAAATATCAATTATAATTTTTGAAGTGTCGCATTTGAATATGCCCAGGATATTATACGCACGACATGCTTTTTGAAGTATTTGTACTTTTCATAGTTGATCATGTTGTAGCATAGGGGTGGATTTGTAGTGTTGCGATCAAAGTTTTTTTTTTAAATGTTTTTAAAGGGGTGAAAGAAATTACTTCCAATATAAACCTCATTATTTTGAAAGTTAATTGGAAGAAAAATATTATCAAGAAAGCTTACCAACATTAGGGTTGTCAAAAAAGCTTGTTGTTCACGAACAGCTCATGTTCGACTCATTAAGTAACTCGTGTTCGGCTCGTTTGTTAAGTAAACGAGTCAAACACGAACAGTTCTTTGTTCGCTCGTGTTCGGCTCGTTTTAGCTAAAAAAAAAATCATATAATTATTTATATAATAATATATTATATATATTTATATCAACTCGTGTGTTAATGTTGTTATGTGCATTCTTTTGCATACATTTGGTCCAGGTTTCAATCTAGTACTTGACATCTATTTTTTTCAATTAATTTTAACGAGTCGAACACGAGTCAAACACGAACAATAATATTGAAATCGAGCCGAACAGAAACACATTGTTCACGAGCCAATTTTGAACAACTGATTTCGAACACGAGCAATTTTGAACGAGCCGAACATGAGCTAAGCCTGAGCTGGCTCAAGCTCGACTTGTTTACAGCCCTAACCAAAATCAGGAAGCTCCGGTTGCATGAAGCTCCTGCTAACGTTGGAGTTTATTTTTTTTTCATTGTTTGATGCTGTGACCTCTAGGTTAAATTGGAGTTAACATCATCATTGTCTAAACTGCAACTATTCATTAAAAAGATAAATGATAAATTTGGTTCCATTTGAAATTTTGCCTTTTCATTTTTTATTTGTATTGAATCATTGAACAAGTATGTACATCTTTGTGATGTTTGAAGATATCGTAGAAACAAATAAGCGCAAGTGATGGAAAAAAGCAGTTATTGATCCTAGCGTTTTATTTTTGCATTATGTCCCTTGTTTTTAAGTATAATTAGAACTGATGTATGTAAGAAATGAGTCCTTAAGAACCAACGAAACTTAAGCCATCTCCTCCAGTGCACATTGTTTACTTGGATTGATAGTTATTTACTACATCGTTCTTGGTGAATCTTTACTTCATGACTAACCGCAGATACTCACAGCCATTTCCTTCCACAGTTTTTTTTGGATTCTCAAACAAGGCTCTAACAAAAGCGCTTTTGCATCTTCCCTACATATTAACGTACCAGTTTTTTTGCCAGATTATAACATTGAATTTGCAATTTTATGAGAGTTTTTTTCTAGCTTTTTTTGGGGGAAAATACTCTTTCGACAAACGAACAGTATCGAAAACAGAAGATATCATGATTTGGACGATTCCTCCAGCAATGTCGCTCTCTTTAATGTAGTTCAAGCTTCTAATAAACTCACTTTTAGATAACAAAACTTGTATATTGTCATAGGGATACCATCTATATGAATATCACAAAAAGTACCTCTTTTGTTGTTACCCATTAACTCTCTTATAAAATTTCAATTGATTAAACTTGTTAGAAATAGCCATTATGTGAAACACGCCCCTCAATGCGGCTTCATATTTTAAATCTTTTTATTTTAAAAAGTCGAAAAGCTCTTTAATCTAATTGTGAACTTTGTTTTGATATGGAGATGAGATAAACGTTATAGCAAGTCATATACTGATGCTCATTTTTTATTTGGCTTAATTTTGTTCTATAGAGTCAAGTTGTACTTCTGTTTAACTATTCATGGAATAGTCGTTATAAAATGGACTTGTTTTCATTTTGTTTACTATACTTTATTATTGAATATATCAAACAACTGTCACTCTTCACAGAGGTGAATTATTGAATTGTTAAATTTCGTTTACATTCTCATCTAAACCTGATTTTTACAATCATTTGAAATAGGCTTGTAAGGACTATCACAGCAACAGGAGTGTCTCTCCTTTACGCGATAAGAAATATGAACTGGGACACCGTGGCCAAGCTGCCATGGATTATCGGAACAACAGAAGTGTTTCTCCTCTACGTGGTAAAAACTATGAAACAGGACACGGAGTTGCGATCCCCCTTGTGCATGAAAATGCAAGGTATTTTTATCTCCATCCTCTCATAGAGTCCATTTTGGTTTTATGTGCTTTTTAAAAATTTTTGAAACAGCAGCAACTTACAACCAGATCCGTCAGGCTGTAGTAGCAATGAGAAAGTTGCTTGATTTCCTTCAAAAGAAAAGAATATAAAATACTTAATAATAACTTCCAAAAAAACATATTTTCCCACAATAATTTTACAATTACTTTCACAAACTGTAGCTGTCCTAAATAAACCCTTAGATCCTTGGGCGTAGCCCTGTCTAATTGCAGACATGACTCCTTTATTCAATGATAACCCTAAACCTTGGTCTAACTAACCCCCAAATCATATATGTTGTTGTAGTGATCTTATGGGCATGAGAATGAACATGTCATTGCCGGTCTCACCGTGCTCGAGCCCTCGACACCAGCAAATACAGTTCAATAGAAGCTGTGTTCCATCTCCCATACATCCAGCCTACTCAGCTGGAGCACTCACCTATGGGCCAAGCAACCATTATCTCTATCAAGTCAGGCCAAGCCATAATTTCACAGACCCTTCTCTGGACATTTCAGAACTCAGAATCCAAACTCCATATAGCTCACCTAAGAGATGACGACTCCAGGTTCTAGTTTTACTCATAAGCTGCAGCATAAGTGCAATTATTTTCACTCTCTTTATGTGAAAAGGTTTGAAACCAAATTAAAATATGGCCAAACCTGAATTTGGCTACACAAATGAGGCAGTTTCTGGAAATAAAGTCAGTGTTGGTGGGTGTGATCCTTTTTCTTATTTGTTTTTCGGCGCAGATGGTATGTATCCAAAATGTGAAGTAAGATTACACCAATTCTGTATAGTATATAAAAGGCTTGGGACTAGATGTAGACGGTGTTGATTGATGCCACTTGAACAAAACATAATGAAAATTAGTTCCCCGCTTCTCCCATCATGCTTTGAAAATTAACCTTTCTTCAACCATCTACATGGCTTTTAGGCAATCATTTTCTTTAACATGTCGCTTTCTTTTAGATTTATTTTTGTCCAGTCATGCATTGCAGCTCTTGCTTCTTCACAGCAACATTGTTACAATAAAGAACTGGGGCAAATACATACTAAACACCCAAAACATTGCTATTTACTAATCTATCACCCTCGTCCCCTTTTTCATCTATATTAAATTCCTTGGTAAGTAAAACCGTAATTCATATTTTTCATTTTTATCAAATTCTTAATGATTTAATTGTGGCAGTGGCAGGCAGTAGTTCAAAGGCTGGAGATGGGATTCTCCTACTCCTCATGAAGCTTTTGGCCTCCTCCCACATGAAGATATTCACAACAAGTCGGAACCAGAGAAAGGATCTAAAACTTAAAAAAAAAAAGCTATAATAAAAATCAGAATAATAACCCAAAATCAAAATCCAATTGAATTGAATAATCCAAAGGCTAGGGTCTGCTCAGGACAGTTATAGCTATTTGAATTAGTAGCTGTAGAAGAACCTGTTTTACAACCATCACTTTTTAAAAAAAAGACAAATCGTAGTTTTTCTACAACCATCACTTTTTAAATATATATCTCTAGTCCATGCTTCCTAATCCAACACACCTAGCAAGTCCTTATTAGCCTTCAGAGAAACAGAAGAAGCTTGGCAGTCTGCTATGTAATGATGCACACACGTGCCACTGCACCTATTTGGACCAACATAGCCTTTGGATTCATAAAATAGAAAAGAATAATAATAAAAATATAAAAATTAAATCTATCAATTATTTTAAACTAAGTAAAAATTAAAATTGAATAAATAAATAATTAACTATTAAGATGCTCTTTGATTTGCCTAAAAATATTTATTATAGGTTGTGTGGATCATAATTGATTTTTTTTTTTAATTTTGTTAAAGAAGAATATTATTTAGATGAATGAAATTTTAAATTTCTTAGTTATTAATTAATTAATCATAAATTTTAATTATTAAATACATAAATAAACAAATATGTTACATAATGCTTAATTATTCTTCAGAGGACATTAACTGTATTGTGTAACCTAATTTCATTATGTGTTATATATGTAATTATGTAAATGAACCCTTCCTAAAATAGCATAATGAGAGTTGAGAGTATGATTTTGTATTATGAGTAGGGGTGTAAATGAGTCGAGTCGAGCTCGAGCTCGAGCAGACGACTCACGAGTTCGAACTAAAAATTTAATTTTTAAGAGAGGTCATCAGAGAGGATATTGGTGATCAAAAGGAAATGCGGCAGCTCGGCTCATTCACTAGAGAAAATTTTATATCCGGACACCGCACGTCTGGATGATCAACTGTCGAGTGTCATCTCCCCATACATGTCGATATCGGGCGACATGACACTTGGCCGTCCGGAAGTGCGGATGTCCAGACTAAATATATTTTACATTCACAAGGTCATCAGGGAATAGGGCTGTCAATTTGGCTCATTGTTCGTAAACAGCTCATGTTTGGCTCGTTAAACAACTCGTGTTCGGCTCGTTCGTTAAGCGAACATGAACAAATTTTTAAGCTCGAAATGTAAATGAGCCGAACACGAACAACATTTTGTTCGCTCGTGTTCGACTCAAAATGGATCGAAAAAAAAATTATATAAATTTCTATATAACAATATATTACATATATTATTTATATAATAATATATTATATATATTTATGTCTAAATTTAAATCATAACACCTCATGTGCAATGTGGTTAGTGTTTTTTTTGTATAGATTTGATCCAGGTTCGAATCCCACACATTACATCTATTTTTTTTAAATTCAGTTTAACGAGCCAATTTCGAGCCGAACATGAGCCGAACACGAACACAAATATTTAAATCGAAATATTAAATCGAGCCGAACACGAACACACTGTTCACGAGCGAATTTCAAACACGAGCTATTTCGAATGAGCCGAACATGAGCTAAGCCTGAGCACGCTCAAGCTCAGCTCGTTTACAGCCCTATCGGGGATCTCACAAACTAATTTTTAAACTTACCATTCTCAAACAAATAAAATAAAAACAATAGGAAGTTGCCTTTATAAAATTTATACAAATCTTTGCGCAACTGTTTTCGGTCATTTTCGAAAGCGCGGAAGTGAAGTCAGTTGTTATGGAGAGAAGAGAGCAAGACGACGATGAGGAGAGGCAACAATCCGGTGCATCGGACCGCTTGATCCGCCGCATCGTCACCTCAGGCGACGGTGGGGCTGTAAGCCACGGCGATCCCGTTTTCTGGCCGACTGTTGACGGTCCGTTAGGTTTATCAGAGGAGAGATCCCTTGAATACGCTCGAAGCTTCTTCAGGTGGGGATTCTTTCTCCTCCCTTTCCTCTGGGCCGTCAACTGCTTTTATTTCTGGCCCGTCCTCCGCAGTCGCTCCCCCTCCTCCTCCTTCCAACGGATTCGCCCTTGTAAGTCTCCCTTCCTTTCATCAGAATCTAGGTTGTCCTTTTTTTATGGTGAATGGTTTATTTACCTGAACACTTTCTTTTTTGTAAAATGATGGGAAGCCGTGGGATTGTTGATGTCATTACTTGGAAAAAATATTACATCAGTACTACGCACGTAGAGGAACGTGCGTACCCAATGAAATCACGCCACGATATCCCGCGCGACGCAGAAAAAAAACGGCGCAGTAACACGGGGAATATTCCTCCCCGTGTTATTCATGTGTTATTGTGTGTTATTGTATCCTGAGAATATTCCTGGTGTTATAATAACACAATAACACATGAATAACACATGAATAACACAAGAATAACACGGGAGAGAATATTCCCCCGTGTTACTGCGCCGTTTTTTTCTCTGTCGGGAATATTTCCCGTGTTATTCAAGTGTTATTGTGTGTTATTCATGTGTTATTGTATCCTGAAAATATTCTTGGTGTTATAATAACACAATAACACATCAAAAACACATGAATAACATGCAATAACACATGAATAACGCGCAATAACACATGAATAACACAGGAGAGAATATTCCCCGTGTTACTGCGCCGTTTTTTTTGCTCTACCGCGCGAGATGTTGTGGCGTGTTTTGATTGGCTACGCACGTTATTTTTACGTGCGTAGTACTGATGTAATATTTCTTCCATTACTTGTGCCCTAGGTTCCTCAGTCAAGGGCTACTTGAGAGTTGAATAACTGATAGATAGGCATGTCTGGCTTGTACATTTATAGTCAGTTAGGTTAAGTTTATCAATTCATATTGCAAATCTGAACTGCGTTCAACAAAGTCGTTAGCTTTGGACTGATTTCCTAAAAACCCAAATTTCCTCAGAGAAACTTCTTGCCATATTGTCTGAATCTACTTGCCTTTATGCTCATGTTGCCAAAAAATAAAAAAATAATATGGCCTACTTGCCCATGTCACTCGATAATTGAGATCGTCAACTTTACCAATACCACTTGCCTTTATGCTGACTTCATTAGAAGTACTTATCAAGAGAAATAGCTATTGAACTCGCTAATGAGAATTCACTCAATGAGCTCGTCAAATGAATTCATCCTCAAGTTAGAACCCAACAGGAGTTTTTTGATTTTAGGATTGTTGCGACCTAGACTTATTTATAAGCAAATCGTGTAATATACTTTTACTTGTATTATTTAATTTTGTAGTAATGTATACTGACCTCAACCTATAAATAGGGGGTAGTGGAATGAGCTAAGCAGATTTTAATAGGCTCATATCACATCTATCTTATATTTTCGAACATATAAAATAGACCAAGTGGATTGTTTATTAATAATTTCTTCACCAGAGAGTATGGTAGTAAAGCGGGCTTCTTTCTCCTGTTTGTTTGGTATATCTCTGGGCTCCTTCTCTAGATCGGGATCTGCATCTCGATCCTGCCAATGATTCATACCTTGGCTATTGGTCATATTCTCGATGAACGAGACTCTATTGGTTTCATCGCCCCGTCCTAATGCAGATCGAACAATAGATCTTGTTGAATTCTCCGGTTATGATACTAGCAAGAGTCCTATTCTTCCCCTCTCGATCCTACCTGCCACAACTCACTATACCGATACCATAGGTTCCCTCCTAGCCCTCGAGTAATGAGACTGAAAGGCGCTAGATGAAAAGGACGAGTTAGCTTTTCTTTCATAAGAAGAAAAAGATGTTGATCAAGGGGAAGGTGACCTACGGGGTGGAGG